AAATGAAAACTAATTCCAAAAAGCTCAAGTATAATCAAATATCAGAAAATGATGAAGGTACTGTAATGCATTGCATGTTGTTATGAATATATACTGTAACTGATGAAAATAAACTAACATTACAAATATAGGTGGGTGCACTGTTGGAGACCCTGGACAATTAATAAACTAGGCTAATCTATTGCATTTAATAAGGCATAGAATAAAGAAATCGATCAAGATATAACATGGCCATGCGTTGAAATGCTCTTGCTGGGTATGTGACACAAACAATGTTTAATACACTTATTCATCATAATTATGGAGAATCCACGTTCCTCATGGTAAGTACAGTATGTAAGGTAGGGGTGGGCAAAATAATAGACTGGAGGAACTTTTTATACTAAAAATCTGACATTTCCAATGTTCTTGTAAAATATTTCATGCGCTGCTTTCATATCACTTATGCTAATTTTTAATATTACTTTCTACGTACATTCAGCATTGAGCTGTATCAAAAAGGGGTTTGCTAGTGAAAGATACAGTAACAGCAGGCGGGCTACACACATAGGGTTTTAAATATATTTTCGCAGGCTACAACACTTGGCCATCTTGTGATACAGTGATAAATCACAGCACGCTGGGATGTAGTTGTGGTGGGCGGACCCACCCAGCCTTGAAGTTTTCCGCCCAGTCTAAAATTTCATGGCCCTACACCCACCCTTATTAACCCACTTTTCCATCCTTAAAATGCACTCTTATTATTTAGAGTTTATTAATGTTATCAACTACACACCTTTAAAATATCTATCACCCACCCTTAGTTTTCTCCAGCTATAACCCTGAGCATGGAGGTATTACTTACACCATCCATGATCATAGGCGCATGTTTCATCTTTATAAGATAATGGCATTTGTACAGAGATAGATGTCTGTATGGGAATATACAAGAATGTGGAAGACTAAGTGAATACCATTGTGTTATTTTTGGACTCGCAGATATGGAAACATACTCAACCATTTACCTGCCCTTCAACCATGTCTATGCATGCATATGTACTTTCTAAGCAAAGGGTAAACAATTTGGCATTTTAAGTAACAGTACAGTACATGATTCCATAGTCAGCAGATAGAGGGCGCCAGAGATTTATTAAATGTTTTTTACACTTGTGATTTATTTTCTGATAAAAAATTCCATTATGCACTAATAAATGTATGTCACATTATTATGCTGGTTATTGGTTGAAAGACATACTTACATAACATATTTATAGGTAAATGTAATCAGTACAAACCTCTTTGTGGAGACATACATGAAGTGCCTTTCTAAAGGAGAAAAACAGACCACTGAAATACAAACAAATAATCATGAAAATAAATTACTACAATTACATACCTCCAACAGCCCAACAGCAATCGATAGAGCAACTCCTGTTGAACGCAGAGGACGCTTTCCAGCACCAACAGGCCATGGATCTCGTTGAAGTTCTCCAAGGAGATCAGTTAGATTCATGTCACACTTGTGAACTGGTTGCAAAAATCTAGATGCAGAAAAAGGGTATGAATTAGAAATATTGGTATGATGGACAACACAGAAACAACACAACATTGTCACCTAATAACAATAATAATAATCAAGTTGATAATTTTTTGTTAATTCAAAATGAGAAAGTTCATTTCAAAGTTTATTTTTAATTTTTGTCATTTTTTTGGGAACAATACATATTCCACTGTAGACTGATATTTTGTTGAAGGATATTCGTAACTATAATTTTCTATTTCCAAAAATGTGTAGAAAATATAAGGAAGTTCTTGTTAACATGTACAATATAAGTCACAAGAAAAAACAATTTCACAAGAGAACTTGGAAAATAGCCAGTAAATAATCGCTTATTATGCAAAACAACAGTTTAAAGTTACACAAAAGCAAACACCAATAAGACAATGGGAGCACATAATATAACAAATCAATTGTTTTAGAAAACATATGTTGACATTTTTTTTTTAATATGGTAATGGAATGGTGTGACGGTATTCTTCCAACATGTAAACATCTTTTAATGTCATCATGTAATCTCAATTATTATTAGTTATTATCTATAACTGTATTAAATAACATCCCAATACCAGGTTAAAGGCCATGGGTCGTAGACCACTTACACATGAGGTAGAAACATAGATTGAACTCTATATATATATATATATATATATTTTTTAATAATGTATTTCTTGTATCTTCTTTTTTTAATATTTTAATGTTTTTGCTGCTTTCTTGCCCATAACTTTTGTAATATTACAAGCAATTTGGCCCATTGGGCCACCATTTGTAATACCTCTGAGTGGTTTTTTTTTATCAATAAAGTGAAAGTAAAGTAAGTAAATATCTAACAATTTCCATGTTTACATTCTGGGACGTGACGTACGTACGAACTTGCATACTTGCGTACGTACGTACGTGTGTTGCGTGTTTCAGACTGTTCAAGGTATGTTAATAACATCTCATTTTTTAGGCCCTAGCTTAGGCATTGCTTTCTTGCTTCCCGGTTCAGTCTAGTAGTCGCGCACACCTTGAAGTGTGTCACTTTCCCCGCATCGCAACATTTTCTCGGCGGCCAACGGACGCATGAACATATATAGAAAATCTTAGTAACGTAGGCATGGGGCTATTTTCAATGTAATCTCATCAGTATCTAAGTGTAGAATGGAACCAGAAATGCATCGACCTACTGATGTAGAACTACTACTTTATTTATTGTCGAGTACCGTTTTTTTGTTTTTTTTTTAATTGTACAGTATCACAAAAACTAGAGCATGATCTCTTATTAATGATTTTCGGCAAACATAGAGATCTAATTAATACTGTACATGTGATGTAAAATTAATCATCATTGATCGTATGTTTCTTTGTTGTTTATGTACTTTTGTTGCCATGAGAAAAACTAATTTCATATTTTAATTTGACAATAAAGCTATCTTGTATCTAATATGAATCGCTGCGATTGAAATATAACAACATAATTGTCTTCGATTTATCTACTTTACCTACTTCATGAGCCGAAAACCAATTTATCTTTACACACTTTTTATCATACTTGTATAATAGAGGCACGTACTCTACAATTTCCAGGTATATTCTTGACTTCCTTAGGAACGTGATGGGGACCACCCCCTTAAAATAGTTGGGGTACGTGTCGCCTGTCACCCCCGTCCATGCTATTCACCAGAAGACAAGGCATTATACAGGCATTATACAGTAATTAGGCACCAAATCCTGAATTTACGTGATTTCTAACATTTTTTTTTATATGAAGAGAGTAGAATAGTAGGCCTATTTCAAATAAATCAATTATCAGTCATTATTATACTTTTTAAAATATCAACAATTATTTTACACTATTTGCAAATAACTTTGGTTTATTGTATTAGCTATAAGATTTTAATTGGTGTTTTTAGGTAAGAAAATATAATAATAGGCCTATTCCTATATAGGGCCTATTGATATAAGATCACATACTTTTTTTCCAACTCCTGAGTCTCAGCTGGGTCGGCACACACTGGGCAGGCCTCACTATTTGTCAATTAATCGTACCTATCATTGTATTTAAAATTAAAATTGAATTATTGTTGTAGATCCATCTACCCTGAAATTAAATATTACAGAGGTTACTATATATATATATATATATATATTTTTTAATAATGTATTTCTTGTATCTTCTTTTTTTAATATTTTAATGTTTTTGCTGCTTTCTTGCCCATAACTTTTGTAATATTACAAGCAATTCGGCCCATTGGGCCACCATTTGTAATACCTCTGAGTGTTTTTTATTTAATCAATAAAGTGAAAGTAAAGTAAGTAAATATCTACCAATTTCCGTGTTTACATTCTTGGACGTGAAGTACGTACGAACTTGCGTACTTACGTACGTGTGTTGCGTAAATGAGTACGCGCAGACTATTCAAGGTATGTTAACCGATCAAAAGCGTCAGAGGCAAATCAAATTAAAGCGCTTCGTAACCAAGGCACAGCACACACATCATAGGCAGGGCGTATAAGCCCAGTGAAATAGTTCAGTTTTCTTTGCTATAAAAATCACTTTTCCCGTGGGTATATTTTGGTAAACTTTTTGTATGTCGTAGATATAAAATTTAACTATATATATTCATAAAAAAACGTTTTGTTGCAATTATGTCCAACTTTGGTGCTTCAAATCCGTATTTCTGGTGTACTATTGGCCATCTTGTGATACAGTGATAAATCACAGCACGCTGGGATATAGTTGTGGTGGGCGGACCCACCCAGCCTTAAAGTTTTCCACCCAGTCTAAATCTAATTTCATGGCCCTACACCCACCCTTATTAAACCAATTTTCCATCCTTTATATCCACTCTTATTATTTAGAGTTTATTAATGTTATCACCTTTAAAAAATATCTATGACCCACTCTTAGTTTTCTCCAGCTATAACCCTGAGCATGGAGGTATTACTTACACCATCCATGATCATAGGCACATGCTTCATCTTCATAAAATTATGGCATTTGTACAGAGATAGATGTCTGTATGGGAATATACAAGAATGTGGAAGATTAAGTGAATACCATTGTGTTATTTTTGGACTCGCAGATATAGAAACATACTCAACCATTTACCTGCCCTTCAACCATGTCTATGCATGCATATGTACTTTCTAAGCAAAGGGTAAACAATTTGGCATTTTAAGTAACAGTACAATACATGATTCCATAGTCAGCAGATAGAGGGCGCCAGAGATTTATTAAATGTTTTTTACACTTGTGATTTATTTTCTGATAAAAAATTCCATTATGCACTAATAAATGTATGTCACATTATTATGCTAGTTATTGGTTGAAAGACATACTAAACATATTTCTAGGTAAATGTAATCAGTACACACCTCTTTTTGTGGAGACATACATGAAGTGCCTTTCTAATGGAGAAAAACAGACCACTGAAATGCAAACAAATAATCATGAAAATAAATTACTACAATTACATACCTCCAACAGCCCAACAGCAATCGATAGAGCAACTCCTGTTGAACGCAGAGGACGCTTTCCAGCACCAACAGGCCATGGATCTCGTTGAAGTTCTCCAAGGAGATCAGTTAGATTCATGTCACACTTGTGAACTGGTTGCAAAAATCTAGATGCAGAAAAAAGGTATGAATTAGAAATATTGGTATGATGGACAACACAGAAACAACACAACATTGTCACCTAATAACAATAATAATAATCAAGTTGATAATTTTTTGTTAATTCAAAATGAGAAAGTTCATTTCAAAGTTTATTTTTAATTTTTGTCATTTTTTTGGGAACAATACATATTCCACTGTAGACTGATATTTTGTTGAAGGATATTCGTAACTATAATTTTCTATTTCCAAAAATGTGTAGAAAATATAAGGAAGTTCTTGTTAACATGTACAATATAAGTCACAAGAAAAAACAATTTCACAAGAGAACTTGGAAAATAGCCAGTAAATAATCGCTTATTATGCAAAACAACAGTTTAAAGTTACACAAAAGCAAACACCAATAAGACAATGGGAGCACATAATATAACAAATCAATTGTTTTAGAAAACATATGTTGACATTTTTTTTTTAATATGGTAATGGAATGGTGTGACGGTATTCTTCCAACATGTAAACATCTTTTAATGTCATCATGTAATCTCAATTATTATTAGTTATTATCTATAACTGTATTAAATAACATCCCAATACCAGGTTAAAGGCCATGGGTCGTAGACCACTTACACATGAGGTAGAAACATAGATTGAACTTCTCCATAGCCTATCATTAGCGCAAGCCATGGTTAAAGGTCTACCGAATCCAATTTTTTTTAGGATTGGAAAGCCTACCGAAGAGATCAGAAAATTTAATCAGTGTGTAAGAATAGGGATGCTGGCATTCAGCGCTACGGATACACGCAGCCCAAATTTTGATTCGGATTAGGATGTGAATGCAGCTTTATATACCAAGAAAATATATACATCTTGGTGTACAATATATCAATTTGTTTTCAAGTGTTTTGTTAGCAATTGTTTTTGTAGCGTTTGCACAACACAAATAGCCACAAATCAATAATTAGGTGTTAGCAGCCAATAACCAAATATAAAACTATTGACTCATTAATGATAAAAGTTCAATATAGAAATTTCAAGCTTTAAATATTATTATACATGTAAATAGCAAACCTCCAACAACACATATCACTGCATGATTCTGATGCAGTTAGATAGAGGGGGCGCCAAACAACTTTAAACATTTGAAGGACACTTGCATTAAATGCAAAATTATAACTACATATCTCCCTCCAATTAAAAACCACTTTTAGAACTGGGGCTTACATTGTCTTTAGCAGCTTTGGTCTCTAATTAGAATAGATAGAAGACATTGTTAATATGGGACCACAGAAAAGTGTTCTTTAATTGGAGGGGTCTTTATTTAGAGGAAGACCAGTATTACTATAACCAGACCAATACCAGAATGGCGGTTTCTATGCAAATAAATGATTTCAGATTCCCCACGAAATACTCCTAGGGAAAAGCAAGGGGTTTTAAATTTTCCAATGCCCACCAAGACCCAGTCAGACTCCAGCATAAAAAAGCATTAAAGCTGTTCCATAATCTTTTGTAATTAGTTTGGTTCACTAAAAATTTAATTAGTTAAATAATATGAAAAGAAACACAATTACACTGTTTATATTAGAGAAAAAGTGCTCCTGCAAAACAAAATTTTTTTGAACCTAGAAGTGTAAAGTAAGTCTCACAATGTCATTTAAGTGATCAAAAACAAGTGACATAAATCACAAAGTTATGAAGGATACACTCAGCAAATACACAATTTACTCAACACAAATCACTGACATAGCGACACAAAATACTGACATAGGTTATCCAATGCTCTGACAGTGACAATGACAATGGTATGAATTTCTGTACTGTAAACCCCTCATCTTTTGTGTGCATTTAAAAATTTGCAATGAAGCTGCAATAACATCACAAAAACAAAAAGGAAATTGTGATGTTCCCTGATATAATCTAAGAATTCGGCCAAAATAATCAAGTGCAATGTTAAGGGTTGATTTTACAAAATTACCGATAAAAAGTTATTTCTAAGCAGTTGATTTTGGAGGAAGGCACTTTATATGCTTTAAAATGATGTGTCATTTACTGGGATCGAATTACTACTGCCAAAGTTATGAGTAAATACTATTTACAGATTCTCTGTACTCAAGTATACAATACTGCCATACTCATAGGCTAATTACTCAGTATGCTGGTTTTGGGATGCCAAGCCTCAAATATGCCCTTTGTAACTATTGTTTATGTTGTGTCGTAATATATTAGGTCTGGAATAACTAAGAAAATGTTTGAAAAAAAAAAAACCATTGCTTTTAACATTGTATATAATTAATATATTTTATATTATGTTTGTTAAAAACTATGCCAAAAACTTGTACTGGAGTGACATAGGCCAGGACCATGTTTGCTGTTTTTTGCCAAGTCCTTAGTGCTCAAAATTTAAGTAACATACTCAGAGTATCATATTGTGTTGTAACAGAAAAGCTGAAAGGATATTTAACAATAAATATTAAGCAGTTTACAGCACAGTATGTGCAAGTTTAGCAGGACAGAACCACAAGACAATACAAAAATACAGTAGCACTCAATCAGATATTCGAACCTGTGTGGTGAATGAGCCCAGTTTTCAGGCCTACAGTATCAAAGTAGAAAGTAAAAACAAATTTTTATAAGCCAACTACAAATCAACAAACTGGATATTGCAAGTAAACATTACAAATCAGAAAAACGTACATACTGAATGGTAGTAAATGGTAATGATAATGATTATACAAACACACATACAGTCCAGATGTGATCAAAATGCTTTAGGGTCTTTATTTATTATTCAGCTCTTGTACATCTAGAAATCATTCAGATTTTTCAGACAGTTATTACTAACTTCATGCAATTAATGGCAGAGTATATATGAGGGTGGGGAGGGATAGGTTTCAGAATTAGTGTTAAATTTGAGTATAAAAGACACAAATTATAAAGTGTTGCTGTCATTATGATTAGTAATTATTGACAACTGCTGTCATGAGTCACCAAATATTAGTTCGACAATAAAATTATCTTCCACTATCCAAAACCTATTAATAAATAGGGAATGTGTGAATACATTTGCTATCCTATTGCATAATTGCAAAATAATTTCCACATTATACAAACCTGTTGAGGGGGGTTTGCTGTGCCTGCTGGGCACCCCCTTGCCTCTGCTGCTGCCCTTGTGCTTGCATCTTACCAATTCCCAGCATATCCTGTATCTGCTTAGCTGTCAGATCTTTTGTTCCTCTGAACACGTAGCTCTTTGAGCACCCTTCACAGCCAAGTTCATGAACTTGGACCATTCGGCCATAAGTGATGAGGCCTATGAGCGCATTGGGTGGCAGTAGTGATAATGACATCTGAAGAGATTCCTTTAGAGCCTGTAAGTCGTCATCGTCCATACATGTATCCAAGACAATGAGGAAGACGAGAGGATTCACTTGCGCTCTCTGTAATGATTCGTATGGACAAGGATTTTGCATCAGCGGTAATTAAAAACTGACTAGTTGGTCATACATGTCAAAATTTATAACTTTTTTTCCATAATTGTTTGTTAATAATAAATATGTGTTAATATTTGTAGGCACAACATTTTTCATGTTTACAATCTTTAAAAAATCAAGCAAAATTATCAATGCAAAAACAGTGACAGACATGCTTATTACTTATAACATATGGAGGCACCATGTTTTTAAATTTGGTATTTACCAATTCAAGAATTTCAAGCTATCATTGTTTGAAATTGGGAGAGGCACTCATCAATTTCAGCAATTGTTCAAAGTTTTAACTAAGATCAAAATAAGCACATTTGGTCTGGGTAAGCTTTATGTGGACACAAGCAGGAAGTGACACATTTGCGTGTTACTAAACCCTGTTGTACACCTATTTGATGCAGGTGTCTTTATACAACTGAAGTAATTACAGGTGTCATATTTCCAAAATTTCCGCGACTCAGCCCCAACCATGGTGGGGGCTGGGGTGGATATGGTCTCTCACCCCATTAAATTTTAAATCCTATATCCGGGGTAGCCTTAGCGGTCAATTTAACCATATTTTTTAGCGCCAACTTGCTATAATGGCTGGACCACTTGCAAAATGATTCTGACGGCTATGGTCTACGAGCATCTACAATGTATTCTCTCCTAAAGCAGGGCTCTCACTGCGACTTATGACGATTGCACGACGAATCCAACTCCGCTCCCTGTGAGCGCTAGACGGCGCGACGCCGTCTACTGATTGTCGCTAGTTGTCTGAACGGATCGTCATTAAAATGTCCGTAGAGTGCAGTGAGTACCCGGTTTTATAGTATGTTATTACTTACTGTTAAAGTGTACTCAATAGTTGAGAACTGTGGAATCAACTCAGCTGGCTGGTGCTGCTCTGTGATGCCTGTGTATTGTTGCGGAAACTAAAATCAGGTGAAGAAGAATTTGTATATTTTTTTTATTCCAGCATCAAATTAAGTTCATAAAAAAACAAAATGTATTAATCAAACCTACAGAATACTACTACTACTACTACTACTACTACTTCAGTTAGGGCAAAAAATCACTCATATGATATTATCCAGATGTAAACATGCATAAAATTAAGCATTGCAGCACACACTACTACATGGGGACTGGATTCAACACTGGTCACTAAGCGCAAGCTCAGTGGTCTAGTGGTTATGACACCAGGCTATTTATCTAGAGGTCATGGGTTTGATTCTTACCTAAGCACTTTCAAATTTTTGCAAGTACTTGGGAACGTACTGAGCATTCAGTACCATAACATGTCAGGTAGGGCAAAACAACACTCCTATAACATTTGACCACTATGACAACGAAGGTGTTTTTTATTTACTGGGTCCAGAACATACTGTGTTCATATAAATAAAATACAACAGGGGTTTGGATGTTTGTCCAGCACCTGCTGAAATTTGGGACCAATTGTGTTTGGTTTTTACTTGAAATAACAATAATCAGTAAATAATCTCACCTGATTTCTCTGAAAACAAAAATTACAAGTCCAAAATTTGGCTCTGTAATCAACTTGACTGCAAATAAATGATTCAAGAAAATGGTTATACTAAATGTGTGGCTATGTTACATTTATCAGTTAATAACAAATTTAAATAATAAGTTGCAATGTTTCTTAAACAATTCCATGGTTTATCAAATAAGGTTATAGAATAAAATATTTTTAATTTTGAAAATAGATTCCCTTCATTGTACTTCATCTTTTATGTAAGAATATATTCCATGTGAAAAGCTACATCAACATACATAAAATTGTTAACATATATAATTCATAAATACAGAACAAGCCATATCAGAAATGTTGTGTTTTTTAAGATGGTTAAAATGATGGAAATTAAACCAATCATCTACTGTCTACTTTTTTATAATCAAGACAAAAGTTACTACTATAGTATTGAATTTTAAAAGACAAAAATGTTATGATTTTAATTTATTTTGAAGTGTTTTGTGAAAATAAACTCAATAGAAATGACGTTTGGTCCAAAATGACATGTTATTATACTGTGTTCTAAATATGTCTCCAAATACTTAAAAAGCCTAAATTGAAATTTCATGATTAAATTAATTATTGATAACATACTTTTAATTCACAGTTACAACATTAAAAAGATTTAAATCATTTTTACTTTAATTTTTATTTATTCAACTTATTTAACAAGGGTGACCCTAACAGCAATGCTGCCTCAAAGGGGCCCTCTACAAAAAACAACAATATCCATAACATTCAGCATGAAATAAAAATTCAATTTACAAGAAAAATACTGGACAAAAACATGCAATACTTCATATATTAATTACAAATATTTAACTGGAAAAGCCAATAACAGTTTTATATATAAATGCCTGATGTGAAAACAAAATGTTATTACCAAAATGGATTGAGGATGGCTCTACAGGTTGAGCGACTACATAGAACCGGGTCATACTGAATAGGGGGAAGGTCAGGCCTTTCTTTCAACGGTGTGTAAAGTGCTGATAGTGGTACTACCATCCTTGTGGCTTCGAGTCGACTTGATGGCCAGACATTCCAGCTAAGTCTAACACCATCTCTATCTTCATTCTGCTGTATAAATTCTTGATAGGTAGCCATTTTTTTAAATGACCTGAAAATACAATTAATTTAGTTAATATCACTAAAACCCATTTCTCACGTACACTTCTGCAAGTGCAAACGTAACTATTTTTAACAAGGATCACTGCTTGTGCAAGCGTATTATAATGTACTGTCTCGGTAAAGTAAATTTTCCAGGGCCCAAGTCTCTTGTGATATTTGATAATCTTTACCTTCCTCGAGGAAGCAGTATCAATTAAGAGATTTTTCATTTTACGAGATATGCTTAGCCAAACGACATTACCACTGAATTACTTAATGTACTGATTAGTAATAATATGCCTACCTATTATATTTGGCGAGGGCCTATTCCTGACAGTACAGCGTAGGCCTAGACTCCAATTAAATTTTGCTACTTAAGAAGGCTAGGCCCCTAGTCTAGGTCTTGGTCCTAGTGACTTGACTGGCTAAAATAAAAGGAGTGTAGCATATGTAGAGTTGTTGGTCTACCTATTATTAATACTAGCCCTATATATAATTATAGTGCTGAGTAAAGTATTATGATATGGTCCAAATCTAATACTAGGTACTGGTCTAGGCAGTAGGACAGGACACCTAGGCTAGAACTAGGCCTATACCTACCCGCGCTAGTAGTAGCTAGGCCTACTAAACTAGGCTAACTCAGTCTCTATAGTACTAGTAGGGCCTAGCCGTGAATTCCAAGCCTCCTGACTTGCTATTTATCACCGAAAAATATACTATTAATTTACCTAAAAAGTCAGAAACAATGTATACACACTTCGGTGATCTACTTCATTAACCAGTGTATAAATTATGTATGCAATAAATACCCACGTCAACAGAAATTCCAAGTCTAAAATTACACTTCCCAGCTCTGTCACCTGTGAAATAGCAGCAGTTTTTGACACGCCGAATTGATGATTAAGTGTAAAGCGCCCCCAATCACTGGAATATCTGCCACGTACCGTGAAAAAGGTCACTGAAAAAGAGCTAGGTTTTTATTTAATACGTGAGAAGACGGTTATTGAATATTCATTAGACCTATCAAGACCTAACTACTGTCAAATCTATACTCTTTAAAACCGTGTGGAAGTGTGGAAAAAAGTGTGGAAGTTCAATTTTCGTTCATCTAGGTTGCCACAGTCATCTTCACTTTGATGAGACAGATAATAAAGGGTCCGATTTTATAACTGAAAGAAAAGCGCTATGCAAGCAATAGTAACAAGTAATAAAGCATGCAAGGATCCTATAGGGTGTATATGGTCCCCTAGCTGTAGCACAAGACGACGCGACGCCGTCCGCTGATTGTTGTCAGCGGCAGTCTGAACGGATCCGTTGCGCGCGCGTCGTGTGGCGTTGCATTCTCCCATAGAATCGTGTCGACCGACGAGCGTCGGGCGCAGCGCGTGCCCGGCTTAATAAATAGGCTTCGGCAGGACTAAGGGCCACTCAAATGGGCCGAACATGAAAAACACCTATCGTCAGACATCCTCTTTAAGCGTCGAAAACGCAAGAACGGACGAGAGTTTAGCTCCATACCCCACGGGGCCACACGGCCCCCAGAATGGCCCGAAAAAGCACTAGCATGGTATAATCTGTAACAGTCATCGAGTCAGCGGTCCGAGGGCGCTTTGTCAAGACCATGGCTGGGGCTAGACCACCACCACCGGGGTAATAAATCCCTACTCTTCCCGAAGGATGTTGAGGTTTTTTAAGACATTGGGTTCTTGTAAGGGACCCATTGTCTTTGGATTTTTCTTCTTGACTGTTGTTTTTCAGGCCTATGCTTTTTAATTACTATGAAAACATTTTGTTTTCAAATATTTTAAACATTTTAGCAGGCATTATACTCCTGGGTGACCAACGGAAAGCTTGTAATTTTACAAATTGATCAACCATGTGGCTGCATGTGAGTCAGTCTGAAACGATTACTTATTAAAAAGACCTACAGGAAGCAGTGTTGGTAATGTTCCTTTTCCCACCATATGTATATGGCGTACCCCAAAATTACGGTACTTTTGGTGAGTGATGTGCCTATTATACATTGGACGATACACAGTATGTCTATCCAACCCGAATTGTACTAAATAGTAATGCTACATCATCTATCAAAGGCTTATTTGGTGATAATTCACCCCTCCCAAAGGCTGAAAAAACACAAAGAAGCTGCACAACACAATAGATGTTCCCGGCAATGTCAACTAGTATGCTGGAGGTTAGCTAGTATGCTGGAGGTTAGCTACAGCCAGGGGACCATATGCACCCTATAGGATCCTTGCATGCTTTATTACTTGCTACTATATTGCTTGCATAGCGCTTTTCTTTCAGTTACGAAGCGCTGTTTTTTCCGTGGTCATTGGGTCTACATAAGTGTTGCTGCCATATTAGCAGGCAACCCTACCAGGTACCCATTTATACTCCTTATATCTTCATATATTGAAGATATAAGTGCCTTGCTTGGACACAAGCGAAATGCACAGCGAGGGATTGAAAACCAAACAATTCAAGCTGCGCCCAAACCGCTTCTTATCATACTTTGTGGGGCTCTGAAAAATTCTAGCATGAAATGCTAGAAAAAGACGTTAAATTTCATAGCATTATGGTCAGGTTTTTATAACGGTTAAACATTACCGGTATTAAATAAATTCATTGGATCCAATAACAAGTTAGTATAAGGTTTTGTTTTTTTTTGTTTTTTTTTTTTGTTTTTTGATGATCCAAATATCAAGTAAACGTAAGGTGTTAACTTAATCTCTGGTTTGGAGAGGTCCATTAAGCGCCTGGTTGGTTCTCTGTCAAGTTCCTTTATATAGGCATCCATTATCGTGTAATACATTGTCAAAAATTGTAAAAACAAGATTACAAAATTGTTAACGATAATATAAAGCTGTTTTCCATGAAATACTATTTAGAAGGTTTTTGCAGAACCTTGGCTTACAATGGCAGTTTTCCTTGTGTGGATCCAAGCCGGTAACCATAGGATGGTTTCATGGACCAACTCTTCAAGCAAACTCCTCTCTGGAAAAACCAAACGCCCTCTCGATCCTTGTATCATCAAAGACCCTCAAAATGATACAGTAATGCAGTCTCTTTTTTTTGTTGTATAGTTCCTTCTTTACCTTGGGGGATGAGGTGATTTATTGTCCCAAAATTAAGCATTTATCAGTATTTTATTATTTTAAGTGTAGGTGTACCTCCCCTTCGGTTTGTATGGTCATTTTATGTTTCAGATATATTTATTTGTTGATTAAATTTTAAATGAATGAAATATAATAGATAAGTAAGGGAATTAATGAATAAATGATCTATGAATGAATGAATAATTTTGGAAATTCACTTTACAATATCATTTAATTCAGTATAAACATAGCCAGAGGCTGAATTGATAAAGGTATAAATCGTTTCCAGAAATGTTGAATGAAAATGACATATGACATTTATAGAAAGGGATATTTCAAACCTAATACTGAACATAATAAATAGACCTGAATTAACTGAAATTTGAAAAGAAAAAATGTACACAGTCAATTTAATTACCGTAATTCATTTATATTCGTAAAAATGTTAAGAACCTCATATAGACCTGGCCTAATAAAACAAAATTGAATGAATGAATGAATGAATGAATGAAAGAACGAATGAATGAATGAATCAATCAATTAATTAATTAATTAATTAATGATCGAGCTTATGAATGAATATGCCTATGGATACGACCATGAGTATCTTGTCTTGCAATGGTCTGATATTTTATCATGTTATTTTTATATAGGTTTCAGTCTCTAAAATACTTTTTTATGTAGGCCTATGAGGCCTGTGGTGAAATAGATTATATATGGTACCTGCTATTACACAAAATTCAACATAAATACAACCATAATACAGTATTTGCAAGCTCTGTGGCAGTCAGGAACATGTGGCCTGAAATGTAAATACCTTAGGCAGGTGCTGACCACATTTGTTTCACGGCCGGGCATGCCGCAGTCATTCGTAGCAGCAGGATGCCGAATAATTGAACACTGACCAAAGAGGAATAAACTCCTCCTCCATGCCCTGACCAATATTTAAAATCAACACAATAAGGGTTCTCCGACTCACAGACCACACTTTGTTGGCGATGCTTATAATTAATAGCCCCATGTTGTTACAAATTAAATCATGCAATTTAATCTGATCAGCGAAAAAGCAAACTATAGCCACTGCAAAAACTGGCCATTCTCCCGTCTACAACGGAAAAGAATAATACATTACACTTCAATAATATGGTACATGCTACGTACTTATATAATACAATGTCAAGGTAATATTAAAATGTTTCTTTTTATTTACTCGTGGCTAAAAGCATGATCTCCCAAAGGAAAAAGACGCCTCCCACCCCCACCCAAACCTATGCCACTGAAAAAAGCCGAAAAAGTTACACTGAACTAGTTCACTTTACCTCATATCACCTTGTTTTGCCAGTTTCTCCGAAGTAATGGCGGCACCAGCCGGTGGTCGACGTCAGAGGGTAACTTACCCCACCCCGGACAATCATGGAGGCCCGTCGTCGATAAATCAACTTTCGTCGGACGGAAAATGGTACCTTGCCGATCTAAACAAACTTATTTAATTGCCAATTTGTAACATTTGGTTTAGAAGCACAGTTTTGAGTTTTGATTCTAAACCATAAAATCTTTCCGCATGGACCACCAGGCATTTTATTCCAGGACCCATGCAATGTTTGTCTGTAAGCTGCCTCTTTGTTCGCACTTCAGCTTCTACTTCTGGTTTAGGCTTCAGGCCTTGGGAAGTCTGCTTGATATGTACTTTAATCTAATTTGTATTTTGATATACAGTAGATAAGGTTAACTTCTGATAATTATTTATATATTACAATGCATTATGGTTGTCATGTTTAAGGTACTAAAGTACTTTCATGCATTGTTTTAATGTCTTATTTGATGCTGTTCTATTGACTGTTGCGTACCCTTTTTGTCGTTATTAAAATGACATTAATCTTTATAAATTGGTCGAACTGTTTGATTTTGCGTAGCATGGAAGTGTTTGGGTAAGGTACAAGCAAGTTTTTACTAATTATTTTGCTTATGAATTGAAATCGAAAAGTACCGTAAGCGTCGCTTTTTATAATGATGATCTATAATAGTGACCGCTTAGTGCGCATGTGGTCCGCGTAAATGAATTAAAAACCATGTGTGCCAAGAAACATTGGCTAAAAAACGCTTTGTTTTTTACGGCCTGACACCGATGATATGTAAAAAGTAACATTAAAACTGAGAATAAAGTGGTGTAAAAGCAGTTCTTGGGGTTTTTTGGAAGCTCACTGGAAACATCAAAGTTCGGGTGTGGCCCTCGGTGTTAAATCAAAAATTCAGTTTTGACCTCCGCCCATTTTTTATTCCCGACCCTGACTTAGTGTATTCATGGAGGAAAGAAATTTATTTTATTTCTCCATGGTGTATTCCACACTAATAATGCATACTGTGCAAGTCCCATACTTGTGGTGTTGGTGCGGTGTTAGCCCTCTATTAGTGGTGGTGGGGAGGTGGTGGTGGTGGCAGTAGTGACAGTTAAGGTGTAGTCGTATTACAGTACAGTGTATTACTATGTCAACGACTAAACAGTTAAATCGTCAGGACCCGTGCCTACGTGAGTGTTACAAAATGTTAATAAAGTGTGTTGCGACATTGACGGGATGATATTCGAGCCTTAATGTTGGGAGTCCGCACCACAGTAGTAGTGTTGGTGTAGCACTTTCCAAGAATAAGAAATTCAACCAAATGATGACTCTTCTGCCATTGTGTTTTATTACTTGATTTTCAAGCCACATTGCTGCTGATCATCTTCTTACATTTAAATGCTTGTAAACATGCCTGTATTCTTTTTTCCACTGCATTTTATCCAACATCATTCAAACATACTGCATTATATAAATTATAAGCCAATGGGAAACGGTTCTGCCTACAATTGGCAGATGAATAATTTCCAGGTACTTGCGAGAACTGGAGATAAAAATTGGCCTTCAACTTAATAAATGTTATAATTACTAACCTTCTTTTGGGAAAGTTACATTAAGCATGGACACCTATCTTTTAATTTATTAGTCAATATATCATTATTGATGCACTTTTGAACTGTCTATGTTTTGTAATATACCTAGATTCACAATGGTGCCAGTACCATCACACATTATGACAGTGTTTCCACAGGGAATGTTGGCAATTCGGTGTCTATTTCGACAATAAGATGCACATGGCATAGGTATAGTGTGCAATAGATCGCCAGTCCACATATTTGCCAGGATAATACACTTGTTCTCGGTATCTGATGCTACAATCACACCTCCGGGTGACACGGTAATGGCATCGCAACATCCCTCGAAGCCATGTCGCAAATCGAAGAGCCTTATAACATTGTCCTCAACGTCCAATACCTGAATCCTACGATTACCCGCGTCACAGACTAACAGTTCTTCCTTAATATTGATACATAGATCACTTGGCCATTTAAACTCTCCTACTCCAGATCCTTCATGGCCTATGGTACGTTTAGCTTTTCCACTATCAAGTGTAAAGACATGTACGCAATGAAGATTTAGATCACTCACAAGAACGTCACTGGAGCAACTCACTGTGATCCCACTAGCTTTTGATACTCCTTCTAGCACAACTGACTTCTGCAAATTCCACGAATGATCATACACATGCAATTTATAACCACTATTTGTCGTCTTACTAGTCGAACATATTAAATAAATACTACCTTCGTTACTAGTTATCAACGAATCTTCAAAACGCTTTCCATGGATCGATATGTTTTGGACATGTGTTCCTTCCAGATCAAATTCTATGACCCTTTCATTGTCAATACTGTCAAGAAGAAATATTTTAGAGCATATTCCAACAACACCACTTATTCTACCAATTCCTTTGATGTCTTTTATAATTGTCTCATAAATTATCTTAGATGTTTGTTCCTCTAATAAACCGTTCATTGAAGAAAATATCTGATAGCGACCCACTTGCGATGGCTTAAACAACATTTGACGTCCGCCCTCGATCATACAATCACTCATACATGGGATACGAGTATTGTCAGGACCGACACAAAGAGCATATAAGTCAAGTGTTTTAAGTCTATTGTCTACAACTATTTCGTCCTTGTCATTGACAAACAGAAAGACGAGTTCCATAATGTCTCCGAGCTCTATTCCTTCAATATTTCTCGTCCGGCTACCAAGAGTTAAGACATCTATGATTGCAACTGCTGGTTCCTTCGGACATCCCTGTATATTGACAGCCATCTTGAAACTTCCCGGGATATGAGGTTTGAATCTAATCGAATACGAGCCGTCTAGATTGTCAGTGACATCAACAATCTTGACGAATGTTCCATCAGGCGCAGCTACATTTGACCGCAAGAGAAGTCCTCCCATCCTGCACACACCTCTCGTATGAGCAGGTTTAATTTTAATCGTGACGTCAAACCCACGAAGAACCACGGCGGGTATCTCAAAGCTAACTCTGCCTGGTGTAATATTCATAAGTAACTGACCAATTCTAGCACTTGCAAGAAGTTTCTTAATCTTGTCAACTTCAAATGGGTTAATTTCATACTCAATATAGTGTTTAGTCTGCAGCTCGGCTTTGAAGTCTTCTCTGAGGATAGCGTCAAGAACTGGCTTTTCTGTTTTTCTTGCCAGTTCCATATCAACATCATTTGACTTAATAATAGGAAGGAAGTAATCAATAATATCCGAATGACGCTTGCTCATCATTTTGGCTCTCTGTTCTTCGGCTTCGAGCTGCTGCATTGTCTGCTTTTTGAACATCTCAACACGAACGTGTTCTTCGCGTTCCAACTTCGTCAGTGCGTCGCGCAAGTCTTGGTACAGCGTTTCTATTGCAATTACTGCTTGATTTGCATTGCTGTTAAGAGCCTTTATGGCAGTACGGATTTTGCTTTGATATCTAGCCGCCGGCTGGTGTTTCTTGAGAGCAACACTAACAATATCATCTAGCTCTTTTCTGTGTTCGGAAGCAATGTGAGTCAGTGTTATTACGTCATGGCCGTCACCCCTGTGACGTGTCTGGTGACATATCGAACATATTGGCTCTTGACATTTAACGCCTTTGCAAAATAATAGCAATTCTGATTGAGGGTGAATTGAACAGAAAAATATGTCCTGATTATCTTTAAACATACACTCTGGGCTGTGAGTATCGTTATGCATTTCTCTGCAGTTGTCACACACAAGACATTCACATTTTGTACAAAATGAGGTTCCACGGTTGCTTTTGCACATCCTACAGCACTCGTCGCTGTCGCCATTTACTGGCATTTTCACTAATGTGTTGTCGCTTTTAGTGAAACTTTCATGAGAGTTGTAATTTGAATGTTCTTGGTATGTTCCAGAAATGGATTTTGAGATATCGAATTTGTTCAAAGCGGCCACTGACAGTGGTTCTAGGTCTTGGTGATTATTTGAATTCCTGATGTCTGTACAGACTGACGGCGTATCGGAAGACATTGTGGTTTATCGTTAACGCTATCAACCGTCTGAAACGAGAACGTCATTAAGTATGATTAATACTGTAATTATTATAACATTTTAATACGGTCTCAGATTAGCCATTATTGAGCAACACGTTTGTAAGATCGATCAGGCTCGAGTTGCTAAATGTTATTATAAGTTTATGCTTCGAGTTCTTTCCAGTGTTGCTTCAACAAGAACAATAATAATATAAATAATATTGATACAAATAATAAAAAAAGTTTCATTATAATGATAATTATGATGATGATGATGATAATAATAAAAATGATGATGATGAAAATAATAATATGTTAATGTTGAACAAAATTAATCCGGCCGGGAAAAAAAAACAGCGATATTGATTTCGTTGGTTCTTTATAATTTAGATTATAATTATATCCTGTACGGCTGCAGTTTTATATGTACCTCAGGGGAAAATAATACATGAAATAATGGTGTATAATGTCATCATAATATTCAGATTCATAATTCCTTAACAAACTCTTCGATCTCAATATATGCAGACACAGAGCTTAGACCTCACCACTGCTCTCTAAAAAACTGTGCAACCATCTTTTTCTCATTTGCCACTCTCCTGTCATACGGTATTATCTTAAAGAAAATGACCCTACATCTTTCTTCTCTTCTTAACCGCACTCGATATAATATTATTGTTATTTCTTGTATAATTAATTATTATTCTTATTTATATGATCTCTGTCTAAGAGCTTAATGATGCGCAATATAAATTGCCAACCATGAACCATGATAATGGTTTGAAACGCATGAATAATTAATACAAAATTATTATAATATATATACACACACATATGCGAGCGTAGTACCTTAGAGGCTTACATCGAGTTTTTAGTGTCAATAATGCGTAGAATGGATAACATAATTTTTACACAGGCTATGAACATAAATAGATAGGGATTGCAACTTATAGTGCATTTTTAATATATATGCATAATATATAATTACTTACATTATACAGTAATGAAACAAAAGATTCTACACATGAAGCAATGCCCAACCTATCATAACATTAATTATTCTGCAACACCTATTCATTTACCATAACCACATTTAATATAATGCACACACATACTGTGTATGTATCTGTGTCATTTATTACATCCTTCGGCAATATGTTATGGGACGGTTGTGATTGACATTCTAATTCTTTGTATCTTTATAGCGATTTTCGACATTTGATTATCTGAATACGCTTCTCAACATTGCCTTATGTCCGCTGTTGTTAGATGATGCACCATGCACAATGCTTATGCAATGCCTTTAAGCATGTGTGGTGCGTTATACATTACTTTCACCATTCACTTGGTGTCGAAGTTAGATATGATTGATTTTACTTAATGATCTAAAAATGAACCTGCGATAGTAAATTCAACCCAACACTCCATAAGCACAGATGTATAAAGTAAAACATTATGCTCATAATCTATAATATTTCCAATACGGTAACCAATTTTTATGTTTTGTTTACGACTGTGCAGTCTCTAGTCTAGACCTATCGGTCGCAAGGTACATGACACTAATAATTTCTTTTTATTTATAAAATTAAAGAGTTTATCTCTGTCTGTATAACTTTGATTAAATCTAATATAGATTACACACATACAGTAGGCCTACTGCTACAAGGCATTATAAATTACTAGGCCTAATCAACTGAATAGAAGCCAATTTATCAAAGAAACTTTCAGCCATAAGCATTAAATATAGTATTTTGCAAATAGCATTCAGTTTTCCATATTTTTTGTGTTTGGTAATTGTTTGTACACAGGTCCCTCATCACAATATGCAGTCTTTTAACGCCAACAATGTCAATGGCTGCCGAATGTCTAAAATCAGACGGCAACAAGTACCAGTACCAGTACCTAGACCTACTTTCTAAGTGTGTTATTAAATAACTAAGTTGCGAAAAACATAAATTTAATTTTTGTTTTACTATTTAGAATTCCGACGCTCCAAGTGGCCGACTTCGGCGTACTATCGTCTCCCCCTCCCCCTATACACACACAATGAAGCGTTCTTTAAGATCTTCGTATAAAAATAACATAATACGAGGATGCAATATGTTTATGTGAGAGGGTGAATAGGTGATGTGCATGAGCGATTGTTTAATCATATTATATACCGATATTCCTTACCCAGCCTTAGCAGACACTTCTATCTATGAGACGCCAACAGTGTCTTGAGTCAAATACGTTAAAAAACAACAATGTTGTCAAAACGCAGTGTTATCAAAACAGTCTTGACATCACTACTAGTTTCTAAAATCATTTAAATTACGTCATTTCTAATAGGCCTATATAATATTGTCATGAATGTTTGGAAATATCAGTGGTACCGTATCTCAGTGTGCAAAAGAATTTCGGCCGAATTAAACTTTTTCTTAAAGTTGCTCACCTCAGCCCTAACCATTGAAGGGCTGATGGATGTAGACCCTGTCAGACACTGGTCACCCTTCATCAGTGTCCCATTCATTTCCTTTTGAGTCCTATGCTTTATTTTCATTCGGTTTGTTTCCTCAATATTTGTTCAAGAGATATTCAAGATGACATGTGCAGTAATGTGTCAATCTAGATCGCAGCGGGTGACATAAGAATGCACATAATTAATTCGATTGATAAAATTATTTTTATATGTGAAAATGGCTCTAATGAGTCAAAATGTAATGTGCAAAAAAAATGTTAGCGATCCATCTATTGCAGTTTAGAGTGTGTAATTGCAAATGCCGAATCTACATATTTAATATTTTTATTGTTTAAAGCATGTTACCAGACTAATAATATAGGATCGAAAAATTGTCATCCCACGTGCATGATTAATTAGCTACTCACTTACGAGAAAAATATAATTACATTTACATATCAAGAAGTTTTAAATTACGCGTTTACCATATTTTCAAATTAGCTGTAAAGTTAATTACTGTACACTTTTTGTTTTAGTCGTGTGTTCGCTTTAATAGGCCTACATCTAGGCCTATTAGGGTAAGCATGGTATCGTAATTGTAGACGAATGTGGAGACAGCTTGGTTTTTTAGCCAGAAAAAAACTATTTGTAATAAAGTTTATTTGAATCAATCTTTTCATAAAAAATGACGAAAATAGTCAGTGGGGATCCAGGAATTCGAAATAGAGAGGGGGGGGGGGGCAGGAAGGGATTTTCACATATGAGGGTATAAACCATGGTTAGGGCTGAGGTAAGAGCATTTATAATTATGGCACCTGCCCTAGATGTCCGGAAATAGCACTCTCTCGGACTTACACTTTAATATCATTTTCTATTTTTTTTTTCTTCACTTTTGTATAATTTTGAAAAATGTTGAATCCGCCACTGATGATAGTACTGTACTTTAAAAGTTTAATATGACTTGATACAAGTCTTCGAGTACACATGTTGATGACGATGATGACGACGATGGTCAGGTTGATGCCAAAACATACACAAATTTTGATAGCTGAAACTAACTTAAAATTAAACTAACAGCTTACTTTACTTCCGAATAATACAGTTTTGTGCCAGTAAGGCGCTCCACACTTCATCTTTTGGAAATAGGTCGCGTCATTAGTGTTGTAGATATATTTTGTATATTGAGAAGAAATTATAGTCCTAATGGTTAACCGACTCTTGGATAAATTTACTTTCATGGCTCAATTACAAACTTAAGAGCCAAGCAAAAATCGCTCTATCTATACTTAAGTAGGCCTATCTGTTGTCTTAGTTGAGCAATGTTTTACCAATGGACATCTCAGTGTCACACACTGCTATTTGGTCTTCAACCAAACACCTGTCTCGCGAATTATGAAATACCGTTTCTCTGTCAATTTTTATTAACGCATGCTGTTTTTCTGTATAACCTCTTTCCTGAAACACAGAATCTTAAATATAAGATACAAGATTCATTTGTCAATGTTCATATCTTGGTTCACGTGAAATTTGGTTTCCAGATTCTGTAACAGAGAATAATAACTTAAACTAAAAACACATTAAAATATACAATGTCAAGTAAATATAATAATAATAGTCTCTACGTTCAATATGTATTTTTTTTTGCACGGAATTTGCGCTAAGACATAACATAGATC